TTTTAACTCGTCTTCTCCCAACCCGGCTTGCGAGCTGGTCGAAGTCGAGCAACGTTTTTAACAGCTTCATAGCTGGTAGACTAAAGTTTTTTAACTCATCTTCTCCCAACCCGGATTGCGAGCTGGTCGAAGTCGAACAACGTTTTTAACAGCTTCATAGCTGGTAGACTAAAGTTTTTTAACTCGTCTTCTCCCAACCCGGCTTACGAGCTGGTCAAAGTCGAGCAACGTTTTTAACAGCTTCATAGCTGGTAGACTAAAGTTTTTTAACTCGTCTTCTCCTAACCCGGCTTGTGAGCTGGTCGAACTCGAGCAACGTTTTTAACAACTTCATAGCTGGTAGACTAAAGTTTTTTAACTCGTCTTCTCCCAACCCGGCTTGCGAGCTGGTCGCAGTCGAGCAATGTTTTTAACAGCTTCATAGCTGGTAGACTAAAGTTTTTTAACTCGTCTTCTCCCAACCCGGCTTGCGAGCTGGTCAAAGTCGAGCAACATTTTTAACAGCTTTATAGCTGATTTTCTAGGACATCTAGGGACATAATCGTTCACAGTTGTTATAATGTCGTGATTGTCGTGCTTGATCAACGCCTGTTGTGATTGTTTAGGGCCGACTTCATAATTGTAGATTTTATAGTTTAGCCAAGGTTACTTTTGAGTGGCAATTTCGTAGTTATTGGTTTCGTGATCACGAGCTTCGTAGCCTTTACCGAGATTCCACTCGAGGCATACAACTTCGTAGTTGTGTTAGATCGACTTCGTAGTCGTAGGCTTCGTGGCCTGTTGCCGAGATTCCACTCGAGGCATACAACTTCGTAGTTGTGTTAGATCGAATTCGTAGTCGTAGGTTTCGTAGCCTTTTGCCGAGATTCCACTCGAGGCATACAACTTCGTAGTTGTGTTAGATCAACTTCGTAGTCGTAGGCTTCGTAGCCTTTTCCCGAGATTCCACTCCAAGCATACAACTTCGTAGTTGTGTTAGATCGACTTTGTAGTCGTAGGCTTCGTAGCCTTTTGCCGAGATTCCACTCGAGGCATACAACTTCGTAGTTGTGTTAGATAGACTTCGTAGTCGTAGGCTTTGTAGCCTTTTGCCAAGATTCCACTCGAGTCATACAACTTCGTAGTTGTGTTAGATGGACTTCGTAGTCGTAGGCTTCGTAGCCTTTTGCCGAGATTCCACTCGAGGCATACAACTTCGTAGTTGTGTTAGATCGACTTCGTAGTCGTAGGCTTCGTAGCCTTTTGCCGAGATTCCACTCGAGGCGTACAACTTTGTAGTTGTGTTAGATCGACTTTGTAGTTGTAGGAGTCAATCGGCTTTATAGTTGTTTTGAAATATTCGATTTTTCGAGTAATCATAATAAAATCGACATGGAAATGTAAAAGACACAACTTAAACATAAACTTGGGAGTCATTGAATTACTGAATTTGATTAAGCATTGTTCAGTACAAAAGAGTTCAAAATACTATCTTAGGCATAAAAGCATTTGAGATGGATCACGTGCCAAGATCGCGGCAACTGTCGTCCTTTGCCATCCTCGAGTTCATATGCACCTCTTTCGAGCACTTTGGTGATGGTGTAAGGTCCTTCCCAGTTAGCTTCAAGCTTCCCAACATGTTTAAGAGCATCTGCTCGTTTGAGGACGAGATCTCCAACTTGAAATCGTCTGGTGCGGACTTTTCTGTCGAAGGCTGCACGCATCTTCTGCTTGTATTCCATGGATCGCACCCAGGCCTCCTCTCATCCTTCTTCTATCGAGGGCCTCTTCGATCATCTCCTCGTTCTTCTTTTCCTCATAAAATGTCGATCTGTGAGAATCTAAGCCGACTTTGATAGGCAAGAGTGCATCCATTCCGTAAACCATGTGAAATGGCGACTGGCCTGTTGAGCTTCTTGGGGTCATCCTATAAGCCCATAGAACTGTTGTCAGCTCATCGACCCAAGCACCTGATGCTCTTTCCAATATCTTCTTCAATCCTTGGAGAATGGTTCGATTAGTCACTTCGACTTGCCCATTAGCCTAGGGGTGTGCAACCGAGGCAAACCTTTGCTTTATTCCCATGTCAAGGCACCATGCTTGAATTCGTTTTCCCTGGAATTAAGTTCCATTGTCAGAAATTAGCACTTTCGGAACTCCGAATCGACAACAGATATTGTTAAACAGGAATTGAATCATCTTTTCCTCCGTAATTTTTGTCAACGGCTCCGCTTCGACCCACTTGGTAAAATAGTCGACAGCGACTACTAAGAACTTTCTCTGCCCTGTTCCCATCGGCAGTGGTCCTACCAAGTCGATTCCCCATTGCGCGAAGGGGATCGGGGTGTTTATGGTCGTCATATATTCGGTGGGGATATGAGTGATTTGCCCGTGGCGCTGACATTTTTCGCACTTCTGGACTAGCGGTTCCGCCATCGCCCGCATCTTGGGCCAATAGTATCCTGCTCGTAGGGCTTTGCCCGCCAAGGCTCTCGATCCTATATGTGCTCCGCAAAATCTTTCATGTATTTCTTTCAAGACATGGGTTCCCTCGTCCTTAGAGACGCATCGCAAGTGAGGCCCAACCAAAGACTTTTTGAACATGACACCGCCGACTTCAAAATATTTGCTTAGATATCGAGCGACCCTCTCTGCCTCCTGCTTATCTCCCATAGGTACCCGACCCTGTAGGAGTTCATGAATCGATTTTCTCCAGTCGTCTTTTTCCTCGACTTCCATTGTTTTGCCCAACACGTTTCCTTCTAAGTGTATGTTAGTGATAGAACTTCCCATCTTCCCAACATTCGATCTCGCAATTCTCGCGAGCCAATCTGCTCGTTTGTTTTCCTCTCGAGGGATTTGTGTTAGTTCAAACTTCTCCAGGCCCTTCACAAGACTTTGGATTTCATCGACATATTTCATCATTCGTTCTTCTTTGATCTCGCAACTTCCCAACACTTGTCCAACAACTAATTGTGAGTCGGAATGTACCACTACTTCTGACGCTCCTCCGCCAATTGCGAGTTGAATTCCTTTGATTAACGCCTCGTATTCTGCTTGGTTATTCGAGGCCTTAAATCCCATTCTAATGGCAAAGTCAAGTTGCTCGCCCTCAGGTGAGACGAGGACAATTCCCAGACCGGATCCTTTGGCCGCTGAGGATCCATCGACGTGCATGACCCATTTCTTTTCTTCTCCCTTGGTACCTTCTTGGATGAAATCCACCAAGGCTTGAGCTTTTATGGCTCGCCTTGGCTCGTACTTGATAGTACTTGATAGAATATTCGCTCAGCTCGACTACCCACTTGACGAGTCGTCCTGATACCGTAGGTCGGCCCAAAGTTTGGCCCAGCTGGAAGTTCGTCCTGACTACTACCACATGATTCAGAAAATATGGCCTCAGTTTTCTAGCCGTTATCACCAGTGTCAAGGCGGCTTTCTCGATCTCAGAATATCTTGTCTCTGCACCCTGAAGAACTCGACTGGTGTAGTAAATGGGCTGTTGGACACCTCCTTCTTCTCGCAATAACACTGAACTTAGTGATACCGAACCTACAGATATATAAAGCACCAACTCGTCGCCGGACTCTGGTTTTGTCAACAAAGGTAGCTCGCCCAAGAATTCTTTCAATTTTTCGAAGGCCATTTGTGCTTCGTCACTCCATGAGAAGGTCGACTTCTTCTTGAGTAATTTGAAGAACGGGAAGCTTTTTTCTGCGGCTCGAGCAATGAACCTGCTCAGCCCCGCAATTCGTCCCGTCAGAACTTGCACATATCTTATATTTCTTGGTGGGGCCATGTCGAGTATGGCTTTCATCTTCTCCCGGTTTACCTCGATTCCTTGCTCTGTGACGATATACCCCAGGAATTGTCCTGCCTTTACTCTAAAGGCACACTTGTTTGGGTTAAGCTTCATCCCGAACGCCCTGAGGGTTTGAAACGTTTCCCTTAAATCGTCTGGGTGTGAGGTCGAGGCTTTACTCTTCACCAAGATATCATCCACATATACCTCGATATTTCACCCGATCTGAGATTTGAACATTCGATCCATCAGCTGTTGGTAGGTTGCTCCAGCATTCTTAAGTCCAAAGGGCATGACGACATAGTAGTACGTCCCTTTACTCGTCACAAAACTCACCTTACTTTGATCCTCTGGGCACAACGGGATCTGGTGGTATCCCTGAGATGCATCCATCATACTCAGTAATTTGCAACCAGCCGTAGAGTCGACGAGCTGATCAATTCGTGGTAGGGGGTAATGATCTTTTGGGCAGGCCAAGTTTAAGTCATGGAAATCGATGCACATGCGCCATAATTTGTTTAGTGCCTTTCTCACCATCACGGTGTTGGATATCCCCTCTGGAAATTGGATTTCTTTGACGTGCCCTGCTCGCAGCAACTTGTCCACCTCGACTTCAATTACTTTGTTGATTTCTTCACCATGGCGTCTAAGTCATTGTTTTACCGGCTTTTTGAGGGGGTCGACGTTGAGTTTATGCTCCATAATAGTGGGGTCGATCCCCGTCAACTCCTCAGGGGTGAAGGCGAACACATCCCTGAACTCCTTTAGGAGTGTGATGAGTTGGTTTCGTAGCTCGTCTTTCAGATCTTTCCCGATCTTAGTGGTCTGTTCCTTCGTTTCTCCGATTTTTATTTCCATTAGCTCCCCATGTGGTTCGAGATCACTATTCC